CTTCTTTCTTTGTGCAAATTAAACTTAAGACTACATACTTTAATGCTGTATGTATAGAAAAAATTATTTTTTTAGTATTGAAATGAAGTTTAATCGAAACATTCAACCAATTTTTCTTAATTTCATGACCACTGTATTCAACATATTTTCAAAACTATTGTTCACCATGTTATCAGCTGCATAAATACTTGAAACTCTGAAAATAATCTTTTTTTAATATAACAATTAATGTCCGATGGCCCATTGACTTGAAAAAATATTCTATACATATGAAATTGACTGTGGGCGGGGCTACCCGACTCTCCCCTAGTCCAAATTTGAGACTTCGTAAAATCGTTAGTCAGCATTGCGGCCAACTAGAACTTCCCTAATTGTCCTGATAAACCTTGATAATTACAAATGTCAAAATTAAACCAATGTTTGTTTCTCCTGTTATCTCATAGCACATTGTCCAAATTTGAGACTTCTATTTTTTAATAACTTGTTATTTAACATTACAGCCAAATTTAAGCCAAACACAGCTAATTAACCCGATAATTACGAAACATTGTAAGGTAAGCTTTTTTTGTTGAGGTCACCTCCTCCAGCCATTAAGATAGAGTCAGAACGTGAAAATCCGATTATTAGATCTCAAGTTACTTCGGATGGTACGCGTTTCTTTTTCCAACTCACTGAACATGGGAAATGCGATTCGTCTCGTGAAACTATCGTGGCAACGGGTTTGAACAATCCCGAATAACAAAAATTGGTAGAACAGGAACTCTATCAGATATTTAATGTTTTAATTAATCAAAACATTTACGGGATTCTAGCTCGTACTCTTCTAGAATCTAGTTAGTATCTAACGCTTATCTAACTGACACTTTACTTATATCAAGAAGAACTACACCGAAGAGCCATTACATTATGACTACCCTGCTAATAACATGTAGGACCACCTTTAGCTCTCAGAACTGCTAGCACCATCCCCTGCAAGAAAAACTGTTGCCATGAATCAGTAAACCTGGTATGCAACTGTGTTCAAGTAGCTACAGACGTCAGGGATTGTTCTATGAGGATTATGGGTCCTAATGTGCCCCATGAAAACATTGTTCCTGGGCGAGAAACCATGACAACATTGTTCCTGGGCGAGAAACCATGAAAACCTGGGCGAGCCCATTGTTATAGAACGAGGGTGGTCATAATGTAATGGCTCTTTGGTGTATAATACACATGGTTAAGATTTCTATAAGAAGCTGCGAAAAGCTAATGTGCTGATAATTGGCATAAATCTAAAACCAATATTCTTGTTCCTCAACAGATAACCATTTTTTTCCTTATTCAAGACCATTTTAATTTTTTTTGAAGAAGAAGAAGAAGAAAATGATAACTTGTAAAGCTTTACTTGATATTTTTACGTATTGTAAGTTTTGGTTCAGATATTTTTCCTTTCATAAAGACATCAAAATTAGACATTTATTGTATGATTCTTCAGTATATAAAAGTGAATATATTTCTGAATGAAAATGTGAATAGAAATTTTTCTCTAAACTGATTATAATTTAGTATTATTAAATTTTGAAATTGATTAAATTTTAATTTTTTTCCCTCTAGATTTTGGGCATATTCAAAGACTGTTCCAAAGTACTAGTTCAAAATTTCAAAACATCTGCACAGAAAAAAGAACCAACATCTGTGTTGAGGTCAGGTGTTTGTAAAGTCACCTTAAATTTTTTTAAGACGTATTTCTTTAAATATATAATGTCTAGTGTTGACTTCTTAATTTTGGGTCTTAAGAAAAAGCACGGAAATATGAATCAGATTCAGAGAAAAGTTGTCTAGTCATCTCAAAGTCATCTTTCGTGTCAAAGTCATTTCAGTCAAAGTCATCTTTCGTGTCACTATTTCCTTATGCTTCAATAACAGCGTCGCAAAATGTCCGTTTTCCGAAGGTTTCTGCAATCTTTTCACTTCCAAACTTCCTGAATCAAAGTGGAGGAAAATATCCTGTTATTATATATACAGTTTCTAGTAATGGCATAGCTCGAATCTTGTAATATATATAGACGGAAAAGGAAAGCATTGAAACACCGCAGAGTTGTCAGAGGAGAATTTTAATGCGATCAGTGCAAGAGCTGTTTTTGTGGGGTCTGGTTCATTTCATCGACAATCACTTCATCGACAGTCCATTTCATCGACACCACTTCATCGACAGGCCATTTCATCGACTAGGTCATTTCGTCGACAGGCCGTTTCCTCGACAGGGTTGTTTCGTCGACAGGCCATTTCGTCGACAGGGTCATTTCGTCGACAAG